GCAGGCGGGCGGCCCGAGCCCACCACCAGCCGCCTCCCATGGTTCGCACTACGACCGCCGCGCAGCGCTCCGCCTCACAAGCCGCCCGTAGGCTGAAATACACGTCAATCACACGTAGACGTTCATCCATTCGTTGTTGGCACGTCACTGAGGCCCAGTGCGCACCGTCCATTGGTCAGAATGGCAGCAATTCCCTCCTCTCTCATCTGTGCCGGTACTAGGCGTCCCACCCTGCTTCAGCTGCTGGACTAGGAATCCCAGCGATCACTGTGCCCGGGGAAGGCGGGTCTTCAGAAGCTGGAGGCGCGATGTCTGCCGGGACTTGTAGTTTTTGTTAATAATTTTAATTCCAGTAGCCAAAATCCCAAAACTCTTAATATAGAACTTTTGAAAAATCTCGAAGAGCCCAGAGGAGAAAGTGAAATTCACCATAAATCCCACCAATGAGCCGTTACCGCTATATTTTGATATAGTCCTGTCCTGTCTTTTTTCTATACAGATGTAAAATAAGAAGCCCTTCGATAAATAAATTTTTCTTCACATAACAATAAATCAGTGGATGGATTATTTTTCCACAGCGTAATTTTAAAAGACATTTATTTTGAATTTTGAATATGGGACAAGATGCAAAAGTTACAAAAACGTCTGATGAAAAGTAATTAGCCCCTGGCCAGGTAGCTCAGTTGGTTAGAGTGTCCTCCCCATACATTAAAGTTGAGGGTTTGATCCGGGCCAGGGGTTATAGAGGAGTCAACCACTAAACGTGTAAGTAAGTGGAACAACAAATCGATGTTTCTCTCTCTTACGTCAATAATTTTTTTTAAAAAAAGTAATTCCCAGCCTGTGCCCCACCGTGTCCCAAAAATCAAGTTTAATGGTTCATACTGATGCATTATAAGTGATCCCAGGGCCGAGGCTGTTTCCAAACTTCCCTGCTATAAGCCATTGTAGTTTCCTTGTAGGTGTAAGCCTATGCCTGAGTCAGGAGGAACCGGTTCTCACTGTCAAACTTCAGCCTCCAGCTTCTGCCTCTGGGTCCACACATGTCTTTATATATCCCCTGTTGACCTTAAAAATAAAACGGTCGTTTTTGTTTTGTTTTGTTTTACCCGCAAAAATGGGTTTATCCTGGAATAGCAAAGAATTGCAATTTGCAAGCTATACAAAAAGCATAAGCAAGTCCAACAAAGGAGAGAAATGTTATTTAAGAGAAAAAGGAAGAGGTTGGGAAATCCATTGCAGAAAAAGGAGAGTTCAGGGAGATGACGGTTTCTCATTGGCTGAGCTGATGGGGTAGTTAATTTCTCCTAGTAGAAATTAACTTGATGTTTCTGTCTCTCTCTCTTCCTCTGTTGCAACGTACATCTTTTCCTATTGGGGCTTATAACTGACTAGAGGTTCAGCGCAGGAAATCCTGCACAGGTAGGATCCCTAGGTTTGGCTTGCGATCAGGGCCGCACGTCCTCCGCCACCCACCCCCGGTTCCCAGTTCCCCATCGGGCAATCAGGGCCTGTGGGCTGGAGGCAGCTCCTGCATTGAGCATCTGCCCCCTGGTGGTCAGTGCATGTCATAGCCAACAGGTTGTTCCGGTTGATTTGCATATTATGCTTTTATATATATAGATGATTCTTTCCTGTTGACTTTTTTTCCTTGCTTGGTCCTGTCTGTAATTGACCATTCTTCCTGTAATTGACATTAAGTGCTACTGTGTGAGAGCTCCCGCTTCTGGCCTCCCAACTTAATTTTACTTAGGTTTTCCTTTACTAATTTTCATAGTCCTTACTACACTGTCATAATGATCACTATACTTACCAGTCTCTGCCATCAGTCTATCAGCTTCCGATGGACATAGTTCTTTTTAAAAAATATATATTTTTAATGATTTCAAAGAGAGGAAGGGAGAGGGAGAGAGAGATATATAGAAACATCAATGATGAGAGAGAATCATTGATCAGTTGCCTTCTGCACGCCCCCTCTGGGGATCGAGCCTATAACCCAGGCATGTGCCCTTGACCGGAATCACAACCTGGGCATGTGCCCTGACCAGGAATTGAACTGCAACCTCCTGGTTCATAGGTCGACGCTCAACCACTGAGCCACACCTGCTGAGCTGGACTTAGTTTTTGATTGACCATCTTTATGTCTCCCAACTCAATAGGTAGGGGACCTGGACATTCACTAATGGTTTGTGTTTTTGTGTGTGCCAGGAATTGTGCTGGGCACACTATGTGCATAATGTCATTTAATCCTCATTGTAACTCTAGGAGTTAAGGGGATAGAATATTCTCTCTGTTACAGAGGAAAACGAGGTTCCGAGAAGTGAGGTAATAAAAGTTAATGTTTACTGAGCACAAGTGTCGGACTCTGTGCTTTCGCTTTACATGGTACTCTCATTAAATCCTCGGACTAACGCTAAGTGATATGCACTATTCTTACCCCCATTTTACAGAGGAGGAAGACAAAGGGTAGACCCATTGCCTTAAATCACACTGCTAATTAGATAAGCCCAATGCCGCCTTACTAGCCACCATGCCGTGCAGCTTAAACTCATGCATTCCTTTTTTTAAAAAAAATATAGATGAATCTTTTTTTAAATTTTATTTTATATTCTTCTTGATTTCAGAGAGGAA